ACTACTTTGGGTTTTTTTTGGTGGTGGGGTCCCCCTAAAGGGTCTGGTATGAATTGGGGGGGCGTGGGATCCTACACTGTTTAAAATAATTTTGAAGAGAAGAAATGTTCCTGTGGACTGTCAAAAGTTGAAAAGTAAACATTTAATGTAACTTTACGAGTGAAATACACACCAACCAATATTATCTATGGCTATTTCTGCAGCGAACGTTTGTTCATACCCGGCGGGATAAGGAATGCCGCCGGGTCCCCTCCTCTCTCATGAAACTGTTGGGCTCTCTGTATATGTCTTAGTGCCTGACTTTTCAAAGGTGGTGACACCAAAATGACAATCATTTTGGTGTCACCCCTCCAATGGTGTCACCCAGGACCCTCCTTGTGACGCCACTGATACAAAGAACAATAAGTTATAAGATATGAAAAAGCAGAAAAATTGGATGTTCATTAACAGAAGAGCATACAGAATAAAGGTGAATAAAGCAGCCCTTTATCAAAGAGTAGACATTTAGGCAAGACTTAAGAGCCAGACAGAAAAAGCCAAACTTCAATCTGAATCAGCTAAATGAATTCCAGATATATCACAAAAAAAGATGTGCAACATGTTGCAGTTTGTTTTCTTTAGAAAACAGTCACAGTGTGAGTAGAAAAGCATGTCACCTGCCAGCATGGCGCAGAGAAGGACACTTGCTCCCTATCTGAAAGCCATGGTGGCTATGTAGATGTTCGATATTGTGAGGAATCGGCGTATTGCGTTGCACCTGGAGCGCAGTGCCTATGCTAACATGACGACTATTGTGGCTTGCGCTCCAGAGTGGAACGCAACGTGACGCACTGACGTCACTCGACTCCGCCCCTCTAGGGGGTTGAACCGTTATAAGCCAGAAAGGAGCTGAGCACGGTGTTCCACTAATGGAGTGTGCGCCCTGCTAGCTCCACTTAAACCATCGCTTCTCGGCCTTTTGGCTAAGATCAAGTGTAGTATCTGTTCTTATCAGTTCTAGAGGGGAAAGGCATGGACTGTCCTTGGGACGGACGGTCGCCTAGTACTCTCAGGAGTGAAGGTAGGTGCTTGAGGCGACTCCCTTTTAGAGGAGGGGGGAGTTTCCTCGGCACTATTGCCTACTGACTGAATAAGATGCGAAGCTTGGTCAAGGCTTGAGGGTTCGGGGGCGGCAGAAGCCCGTGGTGTTGTGCCCCCTGGGGGTGGCGTCCCAGGGGTGCCCAGAAAGTCACATGGGTGTGGGAACCCACATGACTCACTGGCACTTGGTCACACACCACATTGCAATTTTCTGCACTTCGCCTCCAAGACAGGCCTTATGGCTAGTCTGGGGCAATATTTTTTGCACTCCGGCCCCTAAGGCCTGTCAGAGTGGTGCACTGGCACTTTAGATTTATTTATGCACTCTATGCACGAATTGGCACTTTTTTATTTTACTATTTGACCCACAGATGCGAAAGGTGCAGGTTTCTTCGGGGCCTATTCCTGACGCTGGGAGGAGATTCTGTGCCTCGAACGGGGTTCTCTGTCTCCTCCCACCCAGGAGGTGGGTTTCTCTTCGGGAGATCCCACTTGCCTAGTACTGAGGGGGACCTGTTTCGGCAGGTCCCCATAGGAAATGGTCCACGGCCTTCGGGTTGGTGGACCACCAGTCTCAACCCCTGTCAGGAGCCTTGCGCCCCGGGGGGTCGGGAAAGTAGGTCCCTTCTTTTGAAGGACCTTGCACCCTTGTGCACGTTTTTTGTGTGCTGTGATTTCACGGTTCACTTTTTTTGTTCACAGGGGGAAGTTTGATGCACGTCCACGGGCTTCGATAAAAATAAAAAAATAAAAAAAATAAAAAAGCTACTACACTTCTGGGAACTTCCGAACGACTCGGGACTGCCTCCACCATCCTCACCGACGGGCTCCTCAGTAGCAGGCTCACTTAACAAAACCTCCACAACCGCAAGTATCCTCATTCATAGAGAATATCTAATAGACTGAGTACCATACAAATCATGTGAACTGCTGCTAACAATTACACTGTGTGTTCATGCATAACCATCGCTGCAATACAATTACTGTGAACAACTGCTAACAATTACACTGTGTGTTTCATACATAACCATCGCTGCACTATCAATGCTGTGAACTGCTGATTACATAATTCTGAGGATTACCTGTATTGGTACTCACCTGAACTCACGCTCACCTTTAACCAGGAAACGCAGCGTCCTGCTAATACCACAACAACCCTCCAGGGGCTGTACGCTAAGCTAGTTTAGTAATTCCATCACATTAGGGAAGGTGTATGATGTTAGTAATTCCTAACTCTCTGTAACTAAGTCTGAGAGAGCCGCCAGGAATTCAAACTGAACAACCTAAAACCCTACATAAGATTCTGGGGCATACGTGGTACGGTGGATGTTACACACTTCCGCAGTTGAGATTTTGACAACCAAATTTGGAGCGTTACAGATATGCCCTCCCAATTAGTCAACTACAGCTTTCTGATCAGCAAATGATCCCTGCTGATTTAAGCTCTAGCTCTGATTGATCTGCTAATATTTCTGGGGAAGGTTTGCCCCTTTCTTAACCTCCCTGGCGGTAATCCCGAGTCTGGCTCGGGGCGAATTTTCAATGCTAGGAGCGGTAACCCCGAGCCAGACTCGGTGCTGCACAGAAAAGTGACACTCACCTTGTCCCTGCGAGCCCGTGGCGTCCTCTGCTGTACGCGGCTCGAAAAGGAAACTAAATGCTGGCATCTTTTAAGCTTTTTCAAATGCTGATTAAATCACTTACAATGGATGCTGCTCCTTGATGTTGAAAAGTTTGTTTCCTGCAGAATCTGCTCGTTCCCTGAGCACGGTCCCGTATCTGCTGGCTTCTTTCCCTTGCAGGGTTCTATGGAGCCACCCTTGTGTGTGCTAGTAAGCTGTGTCCCAAAAACACACAGGCACAGCAAGGCAAGTTACTTCCCACCCACTGACCCCTGCTGCTAATTCATTCCTCCTTCCTTCTCCCTTTTTCAAGCTAGCAGATGAACAGCTGCTGGAGAACTTGTGATTGTGATCTAATAGGACAAAGATTATTTGGATATGATCAGCCAAAGTTTACTTACCTGAGTCACCTATTCCAGTAGTGTGACCGCTATCAGGTGTATCTGCATTCGGATTTTTCTGTAAAAGAAAGATTTAGCTTGAAAATTAAGTATGTAATACATAACGGTATATATGTAAGAAACTCACACAAGTAGGGCACACCGCCAGTGGATTATCTGGGTGATTGCTAAAAATAGATAATAAATCACATTCACATAGTAACCAGAATAATATTAATCCACAGACTTAAAATTATTGGGTTTAATTGCCAAATGTAATAGAAACAAATCCTGCTTGTAATAAAGACAAATGTACTACTGTCCATCAACTGAAAGCATGAAAGAAATTACTGGATGACTAAATATACTAACAAAAAACAACAACTTTTTAATGAATTGTATACAGTTCTGTATATATAACGTTGTGTATATCATTGTTTTAAAGCAATTATTATTATTTTTATATTTGTATCTGTGTATAAAACCAAATAATTTATTGCAACTTTTCTACATTCATATACAGTTACACTACACAGGTATTATAATGATTTACTGAAAACGTGTATCAATTAGGTGTAATGCACGTAGTGACAGGGTATAGTCACTAGATGGAGTGAGAAGCTCAACTTCTGCTGTGCAAGAATTGTATCCCTAGATGTAGCTGAACTTACATAATAGCATATATGAATATATGAATTAGTAGTATGAAATGAAAAGAAAGAATATGCAATAATCAATGTATGTTATTAATAATACATTGTTGTTGCTAAGGACAAATAACTTGTTGGACATGTAATACATTATTGTTGTTATTGTTTTTAATAAAAATTCCTGTAGGACATGTAATACATACTGAAAAATAAATAATAATACATCATAAAACATACAAAGGATATCAAGTATATAACTAAAAGTACATAACTAAGTGTAAAACGTATACAGTACACAAATGCAAAATATAGTGTGATAAATGCTATGTAGTATAATAGAACCTGCATAATTGTATACAGTATATGAATATATGAATTAATAGTCTAAATTGGTGTATATATAGATTTGTAAAATAAAGAGTATGTAACAATCATTTAAGGTTGTTAATAGTAAATTGGTGTTGCTAATAATAGATAACCTGTTGGTCATGTAATTCATTTTTGTTATTTATTTTTGTTATTGTTGATATAAATCCTGTTGGACATGTAATGGATGATAAAGAATCATATAAATGCAGGGCTAGGATATGTGTATACAGTATATATATATTTTTTTATATATATTATAAACATACATAGAAAATAAATTTAACTTGAGTGTATACATTTCAGAGTTACCCCTAAGCTGTGATGTTTTGCTTGTTAATCTCCTGGATTGGATCCTCAATTGGCTGTTGCACTTCCCAATAGACTCTGACATCATCATAGTGGGTTTTGATATGTGCAACAACTCCTGACAACTTAGTGTATGAGTGTTATTTATTTTGTAGCGCTCACCCCCGAAGGAGCCGCTGGAATACACGGGTTCTTCTGTCCACACTAGGATTTATCGCCCAGGCAGGATCCATAGCACACCATTGCACCTTGTGGGGTTTTGTAAAAGCTTTACTAAACAAATAATGAACTAAATCAATAGAGGCAAAAATATGAGAACAATTGCAATTACCAGTGCACAAAGTAATATCATGTTTAGGTATGGGCGGATTTCTGCCAAAGCACAGCCTTCTGGGCATCGTAGTATCAACAGTTTCTCACAGAAGAAAACAAAAGTGTGAGGTTCCCTTCCTGATTTATACCAGAACCTTTTGGTCTGGTAAGAATGTTAGGAGGGACCCC